ACAGCACTCTACCCAGGGGGCTAGCTTGAGGCTCTATCTCAAAAAAACAAAACAAAACAACAACAACAAAAAAACCAAACACGTAATTAAGGAAATATTCTTTTCATACTATTTGAAATCTGATGTGTATTTTACACTACAGCATAGCTCAGTTGAGATTAGGCACTTTTCAAATGCTGGAGACCCACATGTTAGTGGCTACTGAATTTTAACAGGGTTTAACACAGCCCTGTGTTTTAACAGGGTTTAATGTTTTTCAATATTTTCATCTTCAGAATCATTTCAATTAGGGATAACTCTTGATAGCCATGTTCTTTTCTCAGTAATAGAGAAAACATCTTCACCCAAATGAGTGAGAAAAATGGCTTCAATCAGAGCAATCATGAATAAATAATTCATGCTATTGACGTTAGGCCAAAATAATGAAGTCAGAGAAGTTAAACCAGCAGCAGGTGTGTTCTTTGGTATAGGAAAAGAGTATAGGATGCAAAATCTGCCAGAGTGTAGTTGGGATTACAGCCTTGACCTATACTGACTGTAATCTTGGGTTAAGTAACAGGTTTAACTTTTCAGAGACAAGTTTCCTCATCTGTAACATAATTGCTACGTTGCAGCACTCAACATACATTACAAAGATTACAATTTAAAAGTTAGATGAAGTGATGCTCACAACACTAAAATTCATTATTGTAAAATAAATAAATAAAATTAATTACCTTAAGTGATCTCCAGTCACTTCTTGCCTGGACTTTTCTGTTCTATAGGAAAGACCCATAAACTATGCTCAAAAGCTCAGAATGAGTTATCGTGGATGTTTTTCACTGAAGTAGATGCTGAAATGCTGTCCCAGGCTTTTTTCTTTGCAGTCACCATCCTTGCCCCTTCATTTTTTTATGATGGATAGCACGTTTTCTAATACCTGGCACTTATTTATGTGAAGATAAGATGTACACAGTGATGTCAGGGTATCTTCACAGCCTCCTTTTTTTAGATAAGTTAGGTAATTGAGATATCCTTTGCCTTCTTTCTATTTGCTATTGTGTAACTATAGCCTATTATGTTAAAAGTGGACTTGGAGGGATTTAGCATCATCATAATAATAGCTAACGTTTATTGAGTGTTTTATTGTGCCAGTCACAGTTCCAAGAGCCTTTATCATTTTATTTAATTCTAATACCTTGTGAAATAGAAGTTCTAATAACCCTATTTTACAGGAAAGGTGCCAGGATGTCAGAAGAGCTCAGAGCCATCTGGGGACTGATGAAGAGCTAACTGGCAGGTGGTAGGCATTACAAAATGGCAAGAGGCCATACACGGTGCACATGAAAATATGAGCATGTGGCTCAGCATCTGTAGCTCAATGGCTAGGGCGCCAGCCACATACACCAAGGCTGGTGGCTCGAAGCCAGCCCAGGCCTGCCAAGCAACAATGACAA